CTGACCTTGAAAGTGGATGCGAGGTCATTGTTTACAGAACTTCACTCCATTGCACCACTGCATTGACTACTTTTGATTTAAATTATCTTTTGCTGGTTTTTTTTCTGAGTTGTAGGGGAGGCTGTATAGAATTGTTAAACAGGAAGACAGGATCTGCAAAGCATCTTTAAAAGGAGAGCTGTAAGCTGAACTGTAGAAGATTAATAAATATCCTTTAGATAATTGAAATACAAGTCTTAATGTATGGCCTATTGAGATTTTGCAATAGAATTGTTGCCATAGTTGATCAGAGTTAGCATCCTGAAATATTCCACATCTCTAGTGCAAAATGTTACTGAAGGCCACTGTAAACAATGCAGTTTTAGTAAAGAAGCTGATCCCAGGGTGAAAGATAGATGAAATCAGATACAGAATGTATGAGGAATTAATGGTAAAGCTTTTCATAATCTTTCATGCTTTGGCTAAAAATATTAGCACCATAAAAATTCTTCAGGGGGAAGAGTTGAGGTGGTAGCTGCAGACTGATCAAAACATAAAAGAGGCACATTTTCCCTTTTTATGGGGAGGCCTCTTTCAGACCTGTCATGTGATGGATTTGAAATGAAGGTTTAATGGACTCTCAGTTTCTCAGACAGCCATCTTTCTACAGCTTCATTATTAACAACAATTTAATCTTAGCCAGCTCTCTTTCTTTTTTCTGAGCTCTTGATGATTTATTTTATTTGTTTAGCAGCAATATGAGAAAAATACTCAGATCATAAAGTTAAGGAAGTGTTCCATATTAAAAAACTATGTAAAAATAGTATCCAGTAAATTTTTCAGAAGCATCTGCTCCAGAGTTTGAATTAAAATGTAACAAGTGTAAATAGCATGTAAATAGTGTGAATGGATTTCATATTTAGCCTATATGCAATAGTATGTGAGTTGTAATTTTTCCTCCCAGTACTATATGAGTAATGATGATGCCATTTAATGGCTGAAGTTGTATAAAATATGTTTAAACTAATGTTTACAGCATAGAGACTGTTTTGTGAATGTGTCAGAAAATGAGACCTGGGTAACAAGTGGATGTATAATAGCTCTTGGGAAAATAAATATCTAGCATTAAGTAAAATAAAATTTCAAAATGTGTGAATACATTTTTACAGGGTCTGATCCAGAGCCATTAATGTAATTTCAGTTTTTTACTTCAGTTGCAAGCCAAATGTACCGGGGTCTTCTTTATGCCAGCTGTTTTAGTGCTCTTTTGGGTATAGATACAGTCTAACGTTGCTTTCCTTCAGAAGTCCAAAAAGGTGGGAAGTTCTCCACCGTGACTCAAGCCTTCTGAGTTTACGTGGGTGCAGCTCTGTCAAGCCACTCAAATCCACCAAGCAGTTTGCACAGGGAGAAGTGAAAGTCTGAAACCTCATCCATCAAGGCTTTTTACAGGGACAAGTGCTCCAGGGGCAGTCCTGTGTGTTTCCTTGAGAGTAACAACTGCAATATGCGCTTCTTTCTCATAGTTTCAGAACTGGCGGTAGCCAACTGCTTTAATCCTTAACCTTCCTACATCTTACATTTTGTCCAGAACAATGGAAAAAAAAAATCTTTACAGTGTAGAAAGAAGGGAATGCAATAATAAAAAGTATTTTAAATTAATTTATCTACTTCTATATTCACTCTGTTACTTATTACCTTATTTTCCTTTTAATGAAAACCAGATTTGAGCCTGTTAAGATTTTTTCTTGCAAAAACTGGGGCCCTAATAATAAAGACTAAACTAATTTATATTTTAAATCTACAGATTGCACATGTGTTCTCATATCACTTCTTACCAACTTTGAAAAAGTAGGTTGCTGAGTCCTTAGCCTCTCTAGAGATGTGACTGTCAGTCTAGTGCAGGGATGATCAATAAAGCCCATACAACTGCAATTCAAATCTATTAGTAGTAGTTAGATGATATATTAGTATTGCATACCTTTGTTTCTGCATGTATTATAAGGCAAACTAATGCAAGCTGAGTTGAAATCACAAATGTAACAGAAAATTGCATTTGGTTGATGCTTGAAGACTGATAAAGACTTCCCACTTCGTCTAATGAACCATTGCTTTTTCATTAACAAATAACAATGGTAAGGACTTACATGATGGTATATAAGCACTATTTTAAAACTTTATCAAAAACCACAATGAAGTCATCTTCTATAAACAATTTTATCAATATTAAGTAAATTAAAAATAGTTGCTTAGTCAGCAGCAACCACTCCCAGGGGGAGATTCTGAATCTTGTGACTTAACAAGGCGAGGACACAGACAGCGTCCCTGTCCCTTCACTCAGGAAGTTCTGTTCTGAGGTTGTCTATGCTGGATTGTCTTTAAGCCTGGGTACCAGATAAGTATTCTAGCAGGGTTACAGAACTTGGTCTGTGGCTCAGGGTCAAGTGATCTGTCCAGTTCCTGTATTTTGTAGTCACCAACAGTAAGGTGTTTCATAAGATATTGTCAGAATATGCAGTTGGCAAATATAAAATAATCTGCTTAAGTTGTAGGTCACCCCTACAAACTATCAATACCAGGATGTTCCTTTGCAGTTATTTACTTTTATTAATTAAAAAAAAAATCTACCAGTCCCTTCTTGAATCTTTATTAAAGTGTTCCCCTCAACAGATTCTTGTTGGATTGAAGTTGATAGGCCTATCGACAGTGTGAAAAGTATTTTTGAATTTGCAAACTTTTTTCATTACTTATCTTTTTGTTTTTAATTGGAATGCTTGATTTTTAATTCATATGTCTATATTAGTCTGCATCTTTATCTGTAACTACGGAATTTTCACAATACAGAAGGTTTTCTTTAACACAAGGGTACTCAAAGAAGAGTAATTCAGTGATTGACATGGTTTCTGAAATGTGGCAATAGTATAGCACTTAAAATCACTAATTTTATATAAAAGAACAATGATATTTGCAGTGTGGTTCTCTGTTGCTGTCTTTTTTCATCTTAACATAATGTGCCTGTATATTAACTTTTTGTGGCTGTTTCTCACCACGCAGTCACACTGATGTTCTTCACAGACAGGCCTGCAGCAAAAGCAGACAGGCTGCTTCTATTGATTAATTCAGTTAATTCAGGTGCCTGGAATATGTAAGAACAATTTAAGTTTCTTCTCTTATGTGTATTACTTTGGAATTAACGGCATAAATATAATTTCCCATCATTTAGGCCATGCGTGTGGGCTTTTTAAGTTTTTTCCAGGAGCATAAATAGTTTGTGTGTAATGCTGAGGGCATTTTTAACTGACTATTGCAGTTGAACAGGACAAAGAAGAAACAGTCTCTGGAATAACTGGGTCCTTGACCTTAGATTTTTATGAGTTCAAAGCTCGTACCTTTAATTTGCATTAAAAAGTAAATCACCGAACAATATGGAATGTGCTGGTTTTGGCTGGGGTAGGATTAATTTTCTCCATAGTAGCTGGTATGGGGCTATGGTTTAGGTTTGTGCAGGAGACCGTGTTGACAACACAGGGAT